GTATTGCTATGTTTCTTTTTTATGTTGATGTTTTACCTCCTTAGTAATCTTAAAAATGGAACACTAAGTTCAGAATAACCTCATTTTTTTTTAATTTATTTTTTTATTGATGTTTTAATAGTTTTTAACATTGTGAAATTTTGGGTTGTACATTTTTGCTTGCCCATCACCATATATATGTCTCCCTTCACCCCTTGTGCCCACCCCCCACCCCCATTGCTCCTGGTAACCACAATACAGTTTTCTCTGTCCATGTGTTGGTTTATATTCCACATATGAGTGAGATCATACAGTGTTTGTCTTTCTCTTTCTGGCTTACTTCACTTAACATAATATCCTCCAGGCCCATCCATGTTGTTGCAAACGGGACGATTTTGTCTTTTTTTTTATGGCTGAGTAGTATTCCATTGTATATATATACCACATCTTCTTGATCCAATCATCAGTCGAGGGACACTTAGGTTGCTTCCACTTCTTGGCTATGGTGAATAATGCTGCAATGAACATAGGGGTGCATAAGCCTCTCTGGATTGTTGATTTCAGGTTCGTTGGATAGAGTCCCAGTAGTGGGACAGCTGGAACGTAGGGCATCTCTATTTTTAATTCTTTGAGGAATCACCATACCGTTTTCCATAGAGGCTGCACCAGTTTGCATTCCCACCAGCGGTGTATGAGGGTTCCTGTTTCTCCACATCCTCTCCGACATTTGTTGTTTTTTGTCTTGGTGATTATAGGCATTCTAACGGGCATGAGGTGATATCTTAGTGTTGTTTTGATTTGCATTTCCCTGATGATTAGTGATGTTGAACATCTTTTCATGTGCCTATTGGCCATCTGTACATCTTCTCTGGAGAAGTGTCTGTTCATTTCCTCTGCCCATTTTTTGATCGGGTTGTTTGTTTTTTTGTTGTTCAGTTGTGTGAGTTCTTTACGGAGATCAACCCCTTGTCAGATGTATGTTTTGCAAATATTCTCACCCAGCTGGTGGGTTGTCTGTTCATCTTGATTCTGGTTTCTTTTGTCTTGTAGAAGCTCTTTAATCTGATAAAGTCCCACTTGTTTATTTTTTCTTTAGTTTACCTAGTCTGGGTAGGCATGTCATCCGAAAAGATTCCTTTATGACCAATGTCAAATAGTGTGTTGCCTATATTTGCTTCTATGAGTTTTATAGTTTCAGGTCTCACCTTCAGGTCTTTGATCCATTTTGAGTTAATTTTTGTGAATGGCGATAGCAGATGGTCCACTTTCATTCTTTTGCATGTGGCTGTCCAGTTTTCCCAACACCATTTATTGAAGAGACTTTCCTTTCTCCATTGTATGTTCTTAGCTCCTTTGTCGAAAATTAGCTGTCCGTATATGTGTGAGAATAACCCCATTTTTTATTAATCAGGACTCAGAATAAGGAGATAAGGGACCAAGAAAAAAATCGTGCGAATTAGAGAAGTAGGATGTATCCATTCTCTCTTTAGGCCAAGTCTCATCTGGCCCCCAAAGAACTTGAACCACCTCTTCCAGAAGCTTCTACCTCCCCTCAGCCCACAGAGAGGGGCAGAACTGTAGTCACTTCTGTGAATATGGGATTACCTTGGTAAAATCCAAGTAAGGTGGCATTTTGGAAAAAGAGGTAGCTCATTGTTTAGAAAAAGTAGGCTTTTTCTAAATCATACCAGATAAGGTAATAAACAAAGATAATCGTCTTTTGAAGGGAACATTTGTTAGGTACAAGACTTCACCTGTCTCCTTTTCCATTGTTGCCAGCTAATTGCAGCCCCAGCTGCTACCTGGGAATGGGAACATAAGAACATAAAAGTTCCCTATAGCTCTTGCCTCAATTATAACTAAGTAGAAAACACATCTGATTAACTACTGGGAACGAGGTGCCTTGTTTGAAGTTAGGCTTTGAAGTCACTGGATGTGTCTTTCACACTTACAGCGTGGCGGATACCCCATTTGTTTCTGCTTCACCCTTTGTGATAGCTGACTGAGATCTCGACATTTCCAAGAGGCATCTCAATGGACAGAGCATTCATTATACTGGGAGTAGTTCTTATTCTGGAACATTCTAGAATCACCAGTGCCTAGCCTCTGGTCCACACCAATGAAGTCAGACTCTGGCAGTGGTGCTCCAGTATTGATATTTTTGTCAAAGGTCTCAGGTGATTGGAATGGGTAGCCAGGATTAAGAACCATTCTCTTAGAATGATAATTTATGTGAAATTGGAGAGCAGGGAATTACATGAACAGTTTTAATGGTTTTCTTGATCTTCTGCCTAGGCTCCTTTTGCCTCTCTTGACATTCTTTTTGCCCTCTTTAAATCTACCCACACCACTGTGTCTGCATCAAATTTTCACTCCTGAGAATAACTCATCAGTTCTGAAAATGAAATGCTCAAATAGGATCTGCTCTACAGTCTAGGATTTTCCAGTGATTTAATTATCTAATTACTGGAGACGGCTGCCAAGCACAAAAGATTTCATTCAGTTTCACTATTTTATAACACAGTTCAAAGAACATTTGAATGTCTAATTCAATTTGTGTTCTTTTGAGACCATTCTACAGGGTTTCGTATATCTCTAATGATGGCTCCATTACTGGACTTACAATCACTTTGGGGCTTCTCTTCACTTTTGGTGTATAATACATATTGCTGAAGGAGAACTGGCGCTGAGATGGCTTAATTATTCTAAACTGTTTTTGTCTTAAATAGACTCCCCTGACTGAAAAGACAGAGGCTGGAGGGGGAGGAAAGCTGACGGGGACAGAGAGGATAGGAAGACTGAGGGAGAAACAACAGCAGCCAGTTTAGGAAACAAAATGCTTATCTTTCCCTACATGTCTGCTCTTTAGAATTGCACAAACTTCTAAGTGCAAGAGCACAGCTGCGCATTGTTCTTTATATCCCGAGAGCCAGCAAAGCTGAGCAGTTCTGGGGCAATAAAGGAACTTATGTGGTTAAGATAGCATTCCCAGACCTTGACCGAAGAGCCTCTTTGTTCGCGAAGCTATGATTCTGCAACCAAGCTGCCACAGTTCAAGGCTTGCAAGGAGTGGTGAGTAGTGGGAGACCCCTCCCAGCCAGCCGAGGACCAGACGATGCCAGCCACCAACGGGGGATGCCGCAGCCAAAGGCATCATAGCCTCGGGATCAAATTTGCCACACTCCAGGGATAGTGTGGTGTTTACGCTACGGCAATCCCACCCCTGCCCCCAAACCAACAAATGCTCACTTTTGAAAGCAGTAGGTACTACCACACCATACAAATGATATACTTAGAATTTTTTTCTTGTGAGGTTCCAATGAGGACCACACAATTTCAAAATGGCCAGCAGGTGGCACTGAAAGGCAGAAGCCGTGTGAGAAGGGGCTAACTCTCCATAAACCCCAGGGAAGAACCCGGGAGCCGACAGTCCCTCTGTGGTGTGCGCATGTGTCGTTTGAGCTGCAGAGTACTAAATAATTGTTTTTTAATCACTTTCCAACATTTTTAGAAAGAATACAGATATTTCAGATAAAACCTATATTTCCAGATTCTCTTGAAATGCTGAAACATCTAGAAACACAGGACTCTAATTCTATCAGGTTAAGAGCTGCCGGGAGCTGAGTGGTGATTGTCCTTTGGAGGGGCCAACTCGCCGTTGCCCCTCCTCCACTGCCCTTGTTCAGTTACTGCCTGGACACTGCGGGTGTTGGACTTGTCACTCCTGCACACACCCTCAGCCCACCCTGTACACTTCATTTCACTGCAGAGTGTCTTCAAAATTGCAAAGCAAGGAGAAGCGAATGCAAAGGATGGGGAACTTCACAGATGACCTGCTTCAGAAGAGGATTTAAATGAATTTGCATGGGATGTCCGAGGTGTCTGTGACGTTGCCTGAGGGACAGACTAGCCTCTGGAGACATACGCATTGACCTGTCCTGTCAGCTCTCACGACCCATGAATGGGGCCTCAGGGCAGGTGTTTCAAGCCGGCTGCCCTCTGTTTGTTCTCTGGTAGGTAAAGCGTAAGGGGAAATCATCTTCTTAGCTTTAATGAGGGGGTGACAAATGTAGGGCTCAGGCCATCTGTGAGTTGAAGGGAGAGAAGCTGTGGTTTGCAGCCCTTTCCCTACTGGACCTCACTGGCCCAGGAGTTTGCATCCCACTGACTCCTGAAGACACCAGACCCGTGTGGCTGCTCCAGGCTCCGGGGTGGGTTTGTCTTGTACCAACGTTTGGACTATGAGCTTCTTGAAGTCAGGGAGGATGCCCGGGTATAGTCTAAGCCAGCACCACATGCCCAGTGCCCAACCTACTGCCTTACATTATTCTGCTTCATCAGATTTTTGGGATTTGTTTACCAAGATTCGTGACAAGAACGGTCATTTCTCCCTCCCCTTTGATTCCTGTGTAGTTCACATATTCCTTAACAATGGAAAAGGGTGAGGAAACTATTAGGCAACACACTCTCCAAATAAAACGCAGACATTTTTCTCAACAAATCATCCACGGTGGCTTCTTTTTCTTTCTGAATTCATATTCTAGTCTCAACTCATATTTCTAAATACCTCATAGCTCCTTGCAAAAAAAGCTTAGCTGACGGTCCCACCTTTGCGCACGCCCACTGGGGAGGAGCAAAGAGGCAAAACACAGTAGGCAGGAAGTCTGAACTGGCTGTTAGGTGCTCCACGGGGCTCCTTGCCTTTCAGCTCTCCTCCAAAAAACAGATGCTTAATGGTTTTTTCATGTGTAAAAGCATGCACAGCTTAAAGAAGTGGGTATAGATTGACTCTAGTTGCAGTGGAAGGCGCTAGACCAAATTATGCGCGTGTGAGAGGAAATCACGCTGCTCTGGTTCTAACTACCCAGGTCTTCAGTTAGGCCCTGGGCAAGGATGGTGGAAAGACCCCCGGAAGGTGCCGTGGGGCTAGGGATGCGGGAGGAGGCGAATAGGAGGAGGCCCAAAGCTGACTTTGGGCAAGTCAGTCAGAGGACACGGCCCACGAGGATCACGGTCTGTACCTGGAGCTGTCGCATGTGCTGGAGTTGCAGCCTGAGTTCGGCCACACTCCGCCTCATGTCCAGCAGGCTCATGTGGATGGCCGAGGTGCCGGCAGGCAGGGGCTGGCTGGGGGGCCCCGTGGACTCCAGGGCGCTGAGAGTCTTCCCGCCAGGAGCATGCGGAGTTCCTAGGAGAAAAGAGCAGTGAAGTCCATAAAAGTGCCAGAAAGGAAAGTCTAAGCTGTAAGTCCCATCCCAATACAGACCGCCAGTAACTCTAAAAATGCCGATTGCCTTCATTATGAAAAATTTTAAATTACGTTGGTCCTCTAAATGGCAAAAATAAGGAACTGGGTTTAAATAAATTATCGAACATTCATGCAACGTTATGGTCTGTGGTCTGTAAAAGTCACATTCTACAAGTTTAGTGCCATAGGAAGGCAGATCACAGAGCAGTAGGTACAGCATGATGCCATGTTAAGGAAGCCAGCTGTCTGTCTATCTACCTATCTGCGTATCTTCTTTAAACACACAGGTTTGCACAGAGAAAAGATTAGAGGTACATAAAACAAAGTGTTAACAGTATTTCTAGCTGGTGGTAGTCTATGAGTTTTATATATATATATATAAATATAAAAATATATATATATATATTTTTTTTTTGGTGAGGAATATTAGCCCTGAGCTAACATCTGTTGCCAATCCTCCTCTTTTTGCTGAGGAAGACTGGCCTTGAGCTGACATACACACCCATCTTCCTCTACTTTATATGTGGGATGGCGCCACAGCATGGCTTGAAAAGCGGTGGATAGGTCTGCACCCAGGATCCCAAGCTGCGAACCCCGGGCCACTGAAGTGGTTAAGTGTGAACTTCATCACTACGCCATCGGGACAGCCCCTGAATTTTATATTTTTTTATATTACCACTTTTTGTATTTTTAAATCTGCATAGCAAATATCTATAATTTTATAACAGAAAAAATAATTTTAAAAACTCTAGGACCTAACGCAGGGTGCTTACGTGACTATTCCCTGCAGGAAGATGGATCCCAAGAATGTGCACTTAGTTCTAGGCAGAGATTCGGCCGATCACCACGGGGAAATTAATAAGAAGTGGGTGCTCTCCGAATCCCTTTGGGTTTCCAAACCAGAAGCAGCAGGACCTCTATCCACATCTCCTTCAGTGAGAAAATCAAGGGTGATATGAAAATTCTCTAGGAGAGGAATCAAAAAAGGCAGCAGAAAGAAACTCTTCCTAAATAGTTTTCTCGCTGCCGTAAACTTTGCTCCCTGAGTCCACCTTCAATAAGCCTCATGCATTTTATAAGGCCATCTGGGAAGGGCCTGATTTGACCAAGTTTGCTTTAAAAATGACTCAAAAAGGATCCCAAGAAGCACTTATAGGATCAGCAAGGTCCAGGACTCAAAAGGAGGTGCTAATTCCTTTTCAGGACAATGCAATTCTATGGAATAGGTCTCCAGAGTAGAATTCACATTACACACACACACAACACACACACACACACACTTCTGAAGGGGCTGTTCAGCTCTCTTTCCTGTAAAGAACCAAGTGGAAGGTTTGCAATGGGCCAGGCTGGCCTTGCCACGACAGAACCCGTCATTGCTTTGTATACCCTGGAGTGGTTACAGCACAGCGGGCTCTCTTTCCATCTTGGCTCAGCATCCATGGGAACTTTCCTTCCCCAGCACACACAGGCCTGCAAGCCTCAAGGAGCTGCTGCCATGGGATATAGGTGGCAGGCCAGTGAGCGAGGGAGTGCCTCGCAACTGTCCTCTTTCTTGCTTGGCCTCAGCAACGCCATAGGGCAAGTTCCTCACCCTTAGAGAACCAGTCTCCCAGCCCTCTCATGGCCCCTTTGGGGAAGTCAGGAAAGGAGATGAGAAAGCGTTTTAAGGATTTCCAAGGGAACCCCTCCAGAGTAGACAGCAAGCTTTTTATTTTTATGAGCTTAACTGACCACTCCCATCACCAGTCATGGCTCTCACTAACTTTTGGCTGTTCCCCCCCAAATCAAAGTCACCCTCAAAAGAGCAGGATTCACCATCTCCGCAATTGTTCAAAAGACTGGTCTCCAACTGTGAAGGTCCTCAGTGGAAGGGCACCCAGTAACATGTCCAATAACAGCAGCATGTCAGAGGTAACATGGCACCTTCAAGATCAAGTATTCTGAGGGAGATCACAGTGAATTGGAAGAAGTTTTTCTTTTAGAATTGGTCAAGTTACTTTATCATCACTCCATATGCACAGGCATAGGTGCGTGTGTACAAGCATGCAAACATGCAGACACACACACACACTCACACATCCACACTCACACCACACAACATGATTTGTACAACAAATGATACTATCAAGGTGTGTCTCCTTGACACTGCACCAGCTAGCTACTCCTGTTTGATAATAAGAACTACTCTGCTAATTCCTCAGCCAAATGAAGGCCCACATTCCTTATACATCCCCCCTTCTCCTTACACATTCTGAGGGCACCAGTGTATCTCACCAAACTCCTCCATGGAGGAGAGGCTTGAGTCTACACACTATCTGTTAGAGTCGAATGCCAATAAGTGATTTAAGAAACATCTTTCACAACCAAATTTCTTTATGGAATCTACACTCATCTATAAAGTTTCTTCATCTATAACCTCTTAATCCGCTGAATCTGGTTTCTAACTCCATCATTCACTGAAATGGCCCTTCTAAGCTGGCCAGTGGTCAGTTGTCAACCAAACAGATGCTGGGCTGACGTGACTTCTCCTCGATGCGATGCTGGCTTTTGTCACTCACTTCTTTTCTTCACAGTCTCTTTGAAACTTCCCTCTCCTTCATCTTCTCCCCTCTCTGCTGCTCCATCTTGGTCAATCTCTTCTCTAATTTCCTCCTCAGCTAACCTTTTAAACCCTGGCCTGTTCAGTCCTAGGCCTGCTTCTCTTCTTGCTGGACATGCTTTCCAGGGTGGCCACTTCCATGACCACCACCTGTCAAGGTCTCTCACATCTTTGTCTCCAGCATATAGTTATCCTCAGATCCACATACCAATACCTTTGCATCATTACAGGACTTTTCTATAAGCAGGTCCAATTCACTATTTCTCCTCATCCTCCCCAAACCTCTTTCTGTCTCTATAAGCTTAATTTTAGCCATTGACGCTATTACCCACTCAATTATTTAAACCAGAAACCTGGAAATCATTCTCAGTATCCACTTCCTAGGTATCTGACCTTAGGTAAGTTACTTATTCTCTCTCTCCCTCTCAGTTTCCTCATCTGTAAAATGGAAATAAGGGTTATTGTGTGGGAGAATGGAATTAACACACGTAAATTGCTTAGCCCGGTGTCTGGCACAGAGGGACCCCCTCACTGTAGTTAGCTGTGATTATTTCTCTGAGCAGAGTGGGCAGGAAGAGCCTCTGCCAGCCTCCCCCCATCACCTGGAGTGTCAGCAGGTGCAGAAGGCTGGGGGTGGCAGCAGCAACAGGCTGAGATCTATAAGCAGGTGCCCTGAAATCTATGGGTGGAGCTGGATCTGGTGGGTGGGGTGCAGAGTGGTAAACGAGTTCCCCTTCAGATTAGATTCACAGGACCTGGGATGTACTCTCCACACTCACACACGGGGTAGTCTCATCCTAGTCTAGCAGGAGGGTCAGCGTGCAGTTCGTCTTCAGAACCTCAGTCCTTTCTGTGTACTTTACCCTTTCCAGGCAAAGGCCTCTCCTTTCTCCTACCAAATCCTGTCTTAGGTCATTTACCTCAGTCGAGCGTATCTTAATAAGAATCTTATTAAATGAAAATTTGATGTGAATTTAATGAATTCTGTTGTGACAGAAAGAACATGGGTTTGGGGGTTGGCCAGACTGGCTGTGACTCACTAGCTGTCTGGCTAACATCTTCCTTATAGAGTTATGTGTGTTAAATGATATAATACACAGTATAAAACACATCATGTGCCTTTGAAATGGGAGGCTCCTTCTGTTCTCCTATATCCACAGTAAACCAAATATTCCTAAAGTAACAGGAAGTCTGGGTTTCCCTTTTTCAGTTACCCTTGGCCAAATAAGCTTCTTGATTTCTGGATTAATTCTGTGTACCTGTCTACAGAACAGGGATAATACTTCTTGTCTTGTAGCTTACTTCCTAGGATTCTGGAAGAATTAATATATTTTGCACACCATACATGGCTGCTATGGCAACTAAAGCCCCGTAGACCACATCTAGCCCTGACACATGAGGATGAGAAAGACCAAATTGAGCAGAGACGCAGGGGAGCAAACACACATGCATGTTGCTGGTAGCATCGCAAATTGGCTCAGCCCTGCAGAAGTGAAAACTGGCAGCATGTGGTCGGGGCTACTCAACTGTTAGTCCCTTTGGACTTATTGATTCCACTTGCGGAAATACATCCCAAGGAAATTACACCTGCTCTTTCCCCCAGGCTCCAAAAAAGACATTTGCAAAATTTTTCAAAACAAAGAAATGAAACAACCCATATATCTTTAAAGGGACTGGGGCACCTTAACACAAAAGAATGAGATAAAGTGACAGGATGGTTGGACCACGGTGATGTGTGCCACGTGTGTGTGGACGTATGTTCAGTTTCCTCATCTGGAACATGGGAATAATGATTGTACCTATCCCATGCCTGGCACACAGAAAACCCTCACTAAATGTCTCCTATTATTATTATTACTATTATTATGTCACCAAAAGTGAAAAGGAACAAAAGGAGAATACAAAACAGTATGTACCTATTTATTAGAAAAATGGTATTGGATACTAATCCTTTCTAGAATAGAATCCAGAGGAACGGAAAGTTTTAGTGTTTAGTAGTTCCTTTTTCTCTCCTCAACTTTATTGAGATATAACTGACATACAACACTGTGTAACTTTAAGGTGTACAATGTGTTGATTTGATACACTTACATATTGCAACACGATCACCACCATAGTGTTAACTAACACGGCTATCACATCACATAATTACCATTTCTTTTTTGTGGTCAGAACATTTAAGATCTAGTCTCTTGGCAACTTTCCAGTATATAGTTCAGTATTGTTATCTATAATCACAATGCTGTGCATTAGATCCCCAGAACTTATTCATCTTGTGACTGTAAGTTTGTACTTTTGGACAAACCTCTGCCCATTTCCCTGCCCCGAGTCCCAGGCAACCACCATTCCACTCTCTGTTTCTGCAAGTTTAGTAGGTTCCATTTTTTCCCTAAGTTCATAATAGATCAGAAAATAAATGAATGAATAAATATCTCCAAAACAAACTGGCAATTGCTCTGAAGACAAGTTTAGCAATTTCCATGAAATAATTCTCTGGCTGCAGCCAAGGTCACTGATTGATTTCTAAGTAAACCAACAAAACCCATGAGGATTGGGAACGCTGGAAGAGCCGGCCCTGCTGGCTTTACAGCTCAACTACCCATACTTAGCTGGTGCGGAACCAGGACCCACAGAGGTCTCAACTTAAAGTCTCCAATTCTGTCCTCTGTACCATGCTGCACAACACTCTGTGGCTTCCCCAAATTAAGGGTTTCACCCAACTTGCCACATGCTTCCTGTGTAATTCAGCAGCCCAACATGTCCCTGGTAACGATTTCTATTTCTAACCCAATGGGAGGGAAGACATATTCTTGAGAGAGACTTGCCTTGAGCCTGCAGGATAAGAAGTACATCAAATATACCTGGATACTAGTAAATTTCATGGGGAATATAGTTGGGGCCTCTTTTGGGGGAATGCTGGCATTTAAAAATCAGGCCTTGATTAAAAATCAAGCATGCCTTTTTCTCTCGCCTTAACCACTGGTGGCTCCCTATTGGCTGTCATCCCTGCTCATCCATTCCCACACTGCAGCTGGCCTGAAGTCCTCTCCAGTGTAGAACCTTCCAATGGCTTCACTTTGCACTTGGAGTAATAACTAAGGTCCTTACCATGGCATTTGCACATGCTTCTCCCTCAACCTGGACGGCTCTTCCTTTCCCTCTTCACTTACCTAAGTCCTACTCACCCTTCAGGCCTCAGTTTGTGTCACTTCCTTGGGAGAATGTCGTTGGTCTAGGCTAGACCTGTTGGTTAAACATTCATCCTGCGCTTTTTCTTAACACTCAACACACATATAATTACTTGTCCCATATCCATTTTCCCCACAGGATGAGCCCCATCTGAATGATGCACACTGTCCTTGCCCAATACCGGGCACATAAAGATTTGTTGGATGTATGACCATATATATGAATGAATGAATGAGTCAGTGAATGAATGAATGAAGACCGAAGGGAGAGGACTGAAGGGCTTAGGCCCTCCGAATTAACGACTAATCTGGAAGTTCAGCATTAAACAGAGAAGGTGTGGTGGTGCAGGGACTTATTCCAGAAGCCTCTGAAATCACACCAACCAGGTGACTTAGGACAGGTTAATACTTCTGGAAACAAGCCAGGGCTAATAATAGGTAGCCTGCAGACCTCCTGGAGCTCCGGAGAACACTTACCTGCACTATCTGTGTGGTTCTTACTGGCTGGAGTTTTCATCATTTTCTCGCTGAATAAAAGAAAAAGAGAGTCAGCTATACAGTTTCCAAAATGCCTCTTTCTGCCCCTTCCATTCACCATTCTAAGCAATCAGCAGCAGCCAGTGATGGGATTAAGCAATGAGGGTATTGCAGCATCAGCACCACGATTGGCCAGGATGGAAAAGGCTTCCCAGGTGTGCATCTGACACTGCAGGTGGAATGCAGCTGAGGCGCACTCATGACTTTCAGGTGATGGTGGACGCGGACACGTGTGGATGGAGGTTGCAGGCGCTGCGCAGTGGTCCGTGAAGCCACATGCACTGGGAAGCCCATTTACCCTTCTTGGGCCAAAGAGTAACCTTCGACCAAGAATTACCAGAAAGAAAAAAACAAACAAACAAACCATGATTCATAGAGATGTGAATATTTTCAGCCTTGAAATGATTACAAGAAGACGGATTTGAATGAATGAATTATCTTAATGATTAAAGAGAAACAGATTGAATTATTTTTCATTGGTTTGCTTTCTTCTTTTTACCTAGACGCATCTTTGCTATTACTGGTAATGGGCCCTTTAAAAAGCGCTGACTGAACAAGGCCAGTTAAACTGGCAATCTGTTTCTCCATGGCTTGCATCCTCTCTCTGTAAGACAAGAGAATTGTTTGTTAACGCTATGTTGACTTTCAGACTGGCTTGCCTAGGTGAGTGATCACGTGACGGTTACAAACGGGACCACCGAGTTTACCCCAACTTGGCTTGGGGGACGTGAAGAGCCTGCAAATTCCCACTGAGCCCAAGATTCGATGACCAGAGTTCTGTATTAACCCAATGATCTCCCTGGAAAGACACTGCACAGACCAGCAGACCCTCCTGGAACACTGAAAAGCATCTCCCTCGGGAATAATTCTGCTTGCGCGTCATGTGTTTTTTGAGGCGTTCTGCCCTGCTTTTGCTATTTTGCCTCTGGCACCAGTGGTGTCCCAGGCCAGCTGTGGCCCGGTGGCACACACTTCTAAGCTGGACCCCTAAGCTGGGAGGCTGCTGACTGGTTTTGGTGTAAATGATGGAGATGTTCATTGTGAGTGTGGAGTAAAGCTTGTTTTATAGTCCAAGAGCAATTCAGATGAATGTCTTTGAAGACCATGGGAAAATAGGCTCGAAATCAATGTTGGACTTGGGGGTAGAGGGTGCTTAGTCTAAAGTCATAGGAACTCTAACCTGGGGCTGTTATAGGATCAAGAAGGAAAACAAATATCTCTAACAACTGAGTCATCTCCAGACATGAATGAAAAATCCTCCCAGTTATTTACTGTGCACAGATGCTGTACCTCCCTGTTCAGGGCTCGCTAATGCTACATCGCAACTCATTTGGCTTTTGAAATAGGCTCACATTTCTGTACTTCAGACAATAGCAATTTCACAGAACTATTACCATTATTTTCAACACATTATAAAAACACCACCCCAACAAGGTGACCTCTACTGACTAAGTAGAGGTCATCACACATGGAAATTCAGTTATGCTTACTTGGCAGTCAAAAACAATAATGGGAGAGAGAGGAGAACTGCGTGAACAGTGTGGGCACTTTGCCTGCCATTGTCCCCATCAGCAGGTGTCCTAACGTCAGCTTGGGACAGAGAAGTGACCCCACTCTTCACTGTGGGTCTCAGTCCCACAGGCCTCTCGTGGTGTGAGGGATGGTAATTCCTGTGCTACAAATAGCATAGTCATATATTGTAGCTTTTAAATACTAGCCAACTACTTTATCTGGTACCCAACGGAAAAAATCATGGTGGTCCATTCTTTCACTGTAAAAAAATAACTGGTTAAGTTGGACTTATTGAGAGATGCTATATCTGCATCTTGAACTTCACTGCAATCAAGAGGATTTTCAAGGGTAATTTTGTCCATATATAACTTTTTGGTCTTGAATTTTGCCTTTGGAATACAACCCTGAGGGCCATATGAAACACTGAGCTTAATTTCACAATTACAAGCTTCTAACTTCAGAATTCCATGCATTTTCTTTCGTTTAAAACGGATAGTTCTTTCACAATACTGAGTGTCGTGGACTTAAGTCATGCAATCTGGACAGATAACAGTTGTAAACCCGCTAAGGAAAAAAAAAATAATTTAAGTATTAACAGTATGATCTCTTCATTCTAATGGTGTGAGAAGAAGAAATCTTGAACAGTGAGAGTGGAAATGCATCTCCATGGAGGTGTTTCCTGGCAGAGCAGTGAATGCTAAACTTCTGAGCTGCAGAGCATTTTCTGTCACACCTGTCATCAAACAGTCCATGTGCCAAACAGAAAAATCAGTAAGACATTCCAATCAACAAAACAGGTTAGTAAATACACAACGGAAATCCCAAGTTTATCAGACCCAAGGCACGATGGCATCTCAGAAATGATGGGGTGGTGGCTGGCCATGCTGCCTGCCATGTGGGAGACACCCACACAAATGGGCTCTTGGGAAATGAATAACTTTCGAGGGGACCTGCTGGTACCAGGTGAAAGTTGTCCAGTGTCCCCATTCTTCCCACAGTAATGCTGGCAGTAGAACTCATGACCCTAAGAGTGGAGGTGCCTTCAGAGCTACCTCGAGATGTACTAGTTTCCTGCTCTTATTCAACCATAGGCAAATGGAAAGGGTTTATTTTTTTTTTGAAAAAAAAGTGGGATGACATTTTTAGTGTCTAGACAGTTTTGGTTAGGAAGCAGCTTAAAGGATCCTGTGAGGCTGGAGTGTGGGATAGGAAGGTGTGGGGACAACCTAAGTCCATGCAGAAGACAGTAATATTAAGAAATGTAAGAAATTGATAAGTCTATGGCTATAGAGTAAATGAGAATCTGTTAGAAGGCAGAAGGGATTCCAGCATTGGCTCTAGGCACAATCCCGATTAGGGCCAAATCAGTGTTCTTTCTGGGCCCTCTCTGGTCAACAGCTTTCATCACCTGGTCTGACAAAGGAGAGCAGTAGAATTAAAAAACGAAACTAAGCACCTGAATCATTCCAGATTCAGATCATTGATCTTCAGCTGATTCATCTCCATGGTTAGAACTGCAGAATGTTGCAGCACAGGTTGCGACGTCTCCACACGGGTGTCCACCGGGCTTCATATGAGTCTCTGGCATTTTCCTTGGCTCAGTGGATACTTGGCTTCCCCCAGACAACGGTTTTAGGATGCAGAGAAAGACAATCCCCAAATAGCATCCCCCTCTCCTTGCTCCTCAGGGATGAGGTTCTAGAACTGGCTGGGAAGAGAGTTTGGATGCTTTGGGGCAAAAGCCCTGTATTCAGTCCAGCTGTCCACACTTGGGTCTCCTTTTTGTAGCTGTGAGGATGGGAGCGGACATTCCTCTGGACTATGTCACCAAAGGGGTCACCAGGAAGAAGACACAATCTGTCAGTGCCTTGAGAGTTCCGAATGTTTGAGCTTGACGGTTGAGGGAGAAATTCTCTCCCACTGCCCAGGAAACAGCGGGGCCTGCATGCGGCTGAGGCAGCAGCGCACGGCACACTCACTGCACACACGTGTTTCACTGTCTCGGCCAAAACCGCGTTACAAAAATACAATTCTTTTGACACATGGTAATGAGAAAACTTTTTCCCTCCTATTTAATCATCAAAGTGTTTCTGGTTTCAGGATTCTTTTGAGGGAGATTATCTGATTTATAAATTCATAAATAAGATTGTCTTTCCTTTTCATGGTTAGTAATCTGGAAACAATTTTATGGTTTAAGTAAATTACAGCAACTGGAAACTTATGCAGCCTTCTCCTATGATGAAATGTTATGAAGTATGTTTTAATGTGAAGGGGAAAAAAGAGAAATGCAGTGAAAGAAGAGAATTAACTAGGACCCTGTCATCTTATTGCAGGGGCAATTTTGTATGATAATCATCAGAATATTAAAGATGCTTAAGCTAAATCTTGCCAATATCGCTTGGTTTAAGGTATTAGAGGTAAAATTACCATTGAAAAGATGGTTTAAAAACGATTTCATAAATGATTTTTTACCATTCCATAAACCGTATTTATGTGATTAGTAGGTATGGTTAACTAGTCATTTAGTGCTGTAAGTCAGCCCGGCTGAATGAATCTTCTCGGGGCCCAAGCAAAATATTATTAAAAAATTCAAGTCCAATCCAGAGAAAGTGCTGATCCCAGTATTTAAATTCCTGCTACTAGAACTGGCTTTCCTGCAAGCCCCATGTCTGTCTGTGAAGATGAAGCAAAATCTAATTGCTTGTGGTCTGTTCTCCCTGTCTTCAGAGCCCAGGGAAGGAAAAAAAGCTGTATTCAGGGGAATATTTTTTAGCCAGTAACTCCACTGATACAAGTTTTCGATTCCAATTTTCTCCTTCAACAGTTTTTGACCAGGGACTTGCCTTTGTACTGACCGAGGCCTCATTAAGCCTGAATTACGCCTTATCATTGTATATCTAAGTAAATTAATGGCTATTAAAAAACAAGTCAGCGCCATTAACAAGTACCAGACTGGTAATTCCCCTTTAATGAATCCTTAAGGATACGTTTTTAAACATCCAAAAGGAATGCTGAGGAGCTGGCTGAAACCAGCCAACCAAGCTGATGCGATTAGCCCGTTGTCAGAGGCATTTGCCTTTCTAACTAGTTTCTAACTTTGACATCTAGTGGTGCTGGATAGTCAGTAAGAACTATGGCAACTAGGGCTGGTATTCTGAGAGTCCCTACTAGGTGGTGGATCAACTCACTTCTACTCCTAATATTTTGTGATCTTTTTTTGGTTCCTGCTCCTTCCCCATCATCTCTTTCCCCCAAGAAAGTGAGAAACGGCCAATGAGTCATCAACAAATATTTCTGAGCGCTTAACATGTACTAGGCGCTGTGCAGGCTGCTGCGGACACAGCAGTGAATAAAGTATCATTGTTCTTAAGCAATACCTTCCTTTCACAAAGTCAATTTTTTTTTCTGGGAGAAATCTAAGTGAACTAAAACCCCTTAGTCTTGGCAGTGCCAAAGGCATTTTCCCGAATTGAATACTGAACAGGTTTAAAGCTAGGCTATGCCCTTGTTTGCTTACAGCTTGATTCTCTGGTATGAGGGAAAAAAACCAAAGTAATTAAAGACACTGTTTTCAGATGAGTTCAACAGAACACTGGAATTCAAATGATCTGAATTTGTGGTGAAGCTTCAAATACGACTCTGAGCAACGAGCTTTCTAGTTCTGCCCAACATTAACCTATTGGTGAAAGAGCTGTATAACTAAAGACATTCTTCCAAAAACTCCCAATGAATTTAACTTCTCATTGAGACATCTAGATTTATGGAGGAGATACTGACGGAGTTGGTGGTAACTGCAATGGGGCTACAATGATGTGTGCCTCTAAATTTTTCATATGTGTTAATTCTGTCCTGCTACCATCATGTGCCCCTTAGGGTTAATGACCACGTCCTGCACTTTTTCTTGCATTCTCAGTCCTTAGATGAGGACTGAGCACACAGAAGGTCATGAAGAAATATCGTTTATAACCTTGACCTTGAAGGCTGCTATTTCTTCCCCTGCCCTCTGCTCATGGAGAAGGAAGACTGGGTACGTTCACTGTTCCCTATTGCTACTTCAATCCTTCATCTGCCAACCTCCCCTGCTTCTGAATT